TAATTGTAGGGTAAGGAAAAATGTCAGGGTTTTCTGCCCTCCCGCCATCAGGATAGATGATGGATCCTTGCGGTCCTGAATGCATGCCTGATGGCGGGCACCTGGAGTAGGGTGTGGGCATAGGTAGATGGGATTCACCTATCTACCTATGGGCTGAGACTGGGCTTTTAAGGGCGGCGTCATGGGGACGCCAGTAGAAGCCAAAAGAGAAGCCGAGAAGCAAGAGCAGAAGGAGAGGAGAGAGAGAGAAGAGAGAAGACTTGCTGGGGGCTAGGAGGCCTGCCAGCCTCCCGGACCCCCAGCACCCCTGCCTGCTGTGTACCTGGTAAACCGCAATAAAAGCCTCTGCAAAAGCCACTGAGAACTCTGACTCCTCCTTTACCCGGTCTGCTGGATCATAGAAAACCTGCATTGTACCCATGTCCTAACCTTACAATAATAAAGATTATTTTAGAAATGGAAGTCAAAATTTTTACTTCCCAAGTATGCTTTTTTAGGCAGCTGCTAGAGGATGTGCTCCACCAATATGAGGAAGTAAATTGAGAAAGAAGAAGCAATGCACTCCAAAAAGCAGGGTAGTCAGCATAGGACAGAAGCAAAGGGAGTTTCCAGATGTTGAAGGGAAGTTGCAGAAAGACATAGAGAAGGAGCCCTATGATTAACAAGTTTAGGTTACGACAGGAAGACAGGGCCTCCCTGGTGGTGCAAGGAGTTAAGCACAGCACTATGAAGCTATCTGCAGTCTCTGCAGCACAAGTTCGATCCCCTGCCAGGGAGCAACCCACATGGCGCAGCAGACCTTTCCTGACTGGCCTGCTCCTCCCCTCAGCAGTGTATTTCAGTAGATCTGGCTGTTCTGATCCCCACTCTGTCTCTGGTGAATCCTCTCACCCCCTGCACCTCTGGCCTGTACCCCAGTTCTTATAGCAAAAATAAATAAATCTTTAAAATAGAAGAAGAAAAAAAAAGAACAGGAAGATAAAGTGCTCCAAATGGAATGTTTCCAAGGAGAAAAAAATGGAACCGACAGATTGCTTGATGTATATGACCACATTAAGTAATCTTTGTAGGTCTGGTAGAAATGTGTAGGATTGGGGGTCTCCCTGGTGGCACAAGGGGTTAAGACACAACCTATGAAGCTATCCACAGCCACTGCAACATGAGTTCGATCCCCGGACAGGGAGCAACCCACATGGCGCAGCAGACCTCCTCTGACTCGCCCGCTGCACCCTTCAGCAATGTATTTCAATCAATCTGCCTGTTTTGTTCCCTAAAGACTCTGGTGAATCTTCTCATCCCCCACACCTCTGGCCTGTACCCCAGTTCTTGTATGCATAAATAAATAAATCTTTTTAAAAAATTTTAAAAAATTAAAAAGAAATGTGTAGGATCAAATTAATCATATATACATAGAAATATAACCCCCCAAAATGAGATGATTTAACTCTGAAAAAATGCATAAGAAAGGAAATGTAGTCAGTGTATTCCATATTCATACTGTAAAAATATCGTAAATATTGAATATTTATTTATTTAAAAATTGAACTATAATTTAATTGGAAAATAGGGGAGACTATCTGGGGGTGGGAAGGGAAATATAAACATTATATCTGCTCCTACTGTGGAATGTCAACAGAAATTTAAAAATCAGAAAGTATAGATTATCTGTAGTGATCAAAATATGGAAGTAAATATTAAAAATAGAAAAGTAAATGAGTAATTGCCTTTGTGGACTAGGAATCAAGAATGCTGAAGAGAGGGCAGAAAACTGCTTTATTTTAACCTTGTCGTACACTAACTGATTTTTTAAAAAAAACTTGTACATGTATTGTTTTGACTTAAAATGTTTTAAGATTAAAGAAATAAAAAAAAATGCAGAAAAATTGAGTGTCCCCGGGGTAGCACTCGTTACCTTGGTGAATTCATCACCATCCTGAGTCCAGATATCACCTCAGAAACCAGAGTTGTTAGCCCTAAATGCAGCAGCATCCCTATGGAAAAGACACACATTAACCAGACTCCTGAGACTGATATTTTAAATCAGATGCCAATTCATTAATTTATAAGGGGAAGCAGGGCTTTGAAGCAGACTGGATTGTCTTGTTGCTGATGAGTGCATTCTCTCTCTGTAGGCGGATCTACAAAGGGAACAGAGTGGTTTTCAGCAGGTTGCTTGGTGATCCATGAATGAGGTAGGGAGTGAACTGAGTGTTTTCAAAGAATGATTCTTCCTCCATCTCCCTTGTTCCTAGGCCAGCATCTTTGCTCCAGACAGTGCTAGGATGGATACTCCTGGTGATTTTCCAGACCCCTTCTGACTGGTGCCTTCTTTCTTTAGCTGCATCAATATATTTTTTAAAAAAGATTTATTTTATTTATTTATGCATATAAGAACTGGGGCACAGGCCAGAGGTGCAGAGGGTGAGAGGATTCATCAGAGACAGAGTGGGGAGCAGAACAGGCAGATCAACTAAAATACACTGCTGAGGGGAGCAGTAGGCAAGTCAGGAGAGGTCTGCTGCACCATCTGGGGGTTAGCGCCCTGGCTGGGGATCGAACTCAGGCCATCCTGGTAATGGTGTTGAGACTTAACCCCTAGGCCACCAGGGAGGCCCTGGCTTTTGACATTTGTAACTAACGATTATCTCAGACATCTGTGGATTAGAGAATAAATCACCTAAAGGTAGTTCTAATCCCTCTGCCTTGGGGCTACAACCAAACGTGGAACCATTCTGATCTGTGCCCTCCATTCATCACAAAGCAGAGCACACAGGCTCTTTCAATAAAATCTGGTTGACTGAGTCACTTAGTAAGCTTACAAATATCTACCAAAAGTCTTTCTAGGTACTGAGGTTACAAAGGTGGTAAAAGTTGGATGCTGCCTTCAAAGATGTCCCACATGCACCTCAGACCCAACATATGCCAAACTGAGGGCATCATCTTCCTTGTCTTTTCTCCCAACCCACATGTCAACTTACACTTTGTGTACCATGTCACACTCATCTGTTTGCAATTCTCACTTCCTCCTCATTTGGGATGCTCATAGTGAATGGCTTGGTGTTTTCACACCACAGGGGTGGAAGGAAGACACTGAGGCAGAGACTAAAGTAGACAGGGACCAGATCCTGAATGCTGAGTATTCTAGATACTTTGGCTGCTATCCCAAGTTAACTCTCTTTGACTTAAATAGAATGACTGTGTGTTCTGCAACCATCCCAGATTAGGCAGGTTCATTGGCGGTGGTTCAGGCAACTTGAAAGAGAACCTTGGAGCCCTTGGTATCATCCCCATCAGTTAGGGGAAACAGGCCAGCAGGAGACAACAACCTGGGCCCCCCTGCAACTCTCTTTATGTTCTCGTAGCTGCAGCTGTTCTCTGATGCTCTCCACTGCACTCTGCTATATAGTCTGCTGCCCCCCTGTCCTCTGCTGCCGCCCTTGTGGGCTCAGTCTCCCCACTCAATTGTGCCCACTCACACATGCCCACACCCTACCCAGGTGTCCTCCATCAGGCACCATGCAAGACCACAGGTGTTGATCACAGATGCTAATGACCGGAGGATGGAAAAAGCTGATGACTTCCATTTATCCTACACCGTGTAATTTAACTTTTCCTTTTCCACTGAAGGTGGATGACACAAAGGTGTCATTCATCATCTTGGGCAGAGATGCAGCTGCAAGCAATGTTTCCACTTTACAGAAAAGCAGAGGCTTGAGGGTCTCCGTGGTAGCACAAGGGGTTAAGCACCGCACTAGGAAGCAAGCCACAGCCTCTGCAGCAGGAGTTCAATCCCCAGCCAGCGAGGGAGCAACCCACATGGTGAGGCAGACCTCTCCTGTCTTGCCCACTGCTCCCCTCAGCAGTGTATTTCAGTCAATCTGCCTGTTCTGTTCCCCACTCTGTCTCTGGTGAATCTTCTCACCCCCCTGCATCTCTGTATGCATAAATAAATAAATAAATCTTTAAAAAAAGGAAGAAAAGCAGAGGCTTGAAATGACTTCACACCACAACTAGCAAGAAGCAAAACAAGGGTTTAAAATTTCCAGACTTCAATTTCCCATTCTCTTTCCCCTACTAATACACCTCCTACAGAATGCTTTGAGTGGAGTGTAAGAGAGGTGAGTCTCCGCCCAGGCCTGATACTGGTAGAAAATTCTCATCACTGGCACTAGAGGTTAAGTTCTTACCTCTTCTCCTGGCCTAGTTCTCATCCCTAAATATACTCGTCCCTTCCCCCTCCCCAGACACTCTGTCTTCCTTAAATCCTGACGATTCTTAAATGAAACTGAAGCTTAGAAAGGCTAAGTTTCATGCTCCAAAGTCCGAAGCTTCCCACCTCACTTCTCTGTCCAGGTGTGGACCACCCTGCTAAAGAAACTTGCAGACCGGTGAGGAAGCGGTTACCCTGGTCCAGCCCCAGTCCGAGGCTGAGAGCCGCCAGGTGGCGCGGTGGAGGTGCGTTGTTCCCCACCTGCCCCAGCAGCAGGCGAGACGCACCTGAACCAGGCGGGGCGAGCCCGGGGAAAGTAAGCTCCGGGGCGGGACGCAGCCCTATCCCCCAGCCAGAGTGGACTTGGAACGCGGCTTTACTTCGGCCTGCTGGGGACCGCCGGGGCCCCGCGAAAGAGTCACGCCCCCACCAGGCGAGCGCCGGGCTGCATCACCTCCCCAGAGTGCAATTCATTTTGGGGGGCACCGGGAATAAATGAGGGCGACGGCGAGAGAAGCCCGGCGAGGCGAGGAGGGGCCTCCACCGCCCCCACCTGTCGGCCGCCGGGAGGGGGTGGAGCGGGGGCGGGGCTCGCCGCGCAGGGCCCGCCCCGGTCCCAGACCCCGGGGCGCGCGACGAGATATAAGGCGGCCGGGAAACAATGCGCCTGCAACTCGCGCTCCCGCGCCGATCCCGGGAGCGTCCGGGCAGCTGTGCGCGGGCGAGGGAGGGCGCGCGCTCGGGGCGGGGGGCGCGCTCTTGGGTGCGGGCCGCGCGCTAGGCGGCGCGCATGTGCGTGTGTGCGGGCTGCCGGGCTGCCGGGCGCCGGCGGCTGGCCGGTCCACTCCAGGTGGCTGGCGGCCGGAGCTTGGTGAGGCTGGGGGCGGTCGGGAGACCCGCGCGGGTCCCCAGGGGCGGGCTGCAGTCTGCCTGCTGGGCACCGCGCGCCCCCGTTAGGCCCGGCCGGGCCCTGGGAGCTGCGCTCCGGGCGACGCTGGCAAAGTTTGCTTTGAACTCGCTCCCCGCAGCCCAGTCCGCGCGCTGAGAGCCGCTTCTCTGGGCAGGCGGACCCCGGCCGGGCTTCCCGGCACGCGAGAGGAGGGCGCCGGCTGCAGGCAGGGAGGTTAGGAGGACGAAAGCCCGACATCCTGCTGTGCTGGGGAACCCAGGGACGCCCCCCTTTCTGGGCCCGCATTTCAGTCCGCACGTCCCCCTTCCCTCCCGCAGGGAGTGGACATGGACTTCGACTCGTACCAGCACTATTTCTACGACTATGACTGCGGCGAGGATTTCTACCGCTCCACGGCGCCCAGCGAGGACATCTGGAAGAAATTCGAGCTGGTGCCGTCGCCCCCCACGTCGCCGCCCTGGGGCGCGGGTCCCGGCGCCGGGGACCCTGCCACTGGAATTGGGCCCCCGGAGCCATGGCCCGGAGGGGGCGCCGGGGACGAGGCGGAATCCCGGGGCCACTCGAAAGCTTGGGGCAGGAACTACGCCTCCATCATCCGCCGTGACTGCATGTGGAGCTGCTTCTCAGCCCGTGAACGGCTGGAGAGAGCCGTGAGCGACCGGCTGGCCGCTGGCGCGCCCCGGGGGAACCCACCCAAGGCGCCCGCTGCCCCGGACTGCGCCCCCAGCCTCGAAGCCTGCAATCCGGCGCCCACTGCACCCTGTCCGCTGGGTGAGCCCAAGACCCAGGCCTGCTCCGGGTCCGAGAGCCCAAGCGACTCGGGTAAGGACTGTCCTGAGCCATTCCAGAGGGGGGTACCCCATGGGTGGCCACAGCGCTGCCAGCGTGAGGTCAGGCACTAGGTCTTCCTGAGCCCTTCCGGCCACCTCCCCCTTTCTCTGGCTGATGCTGCCGGTGTAGCCCCCAGCGGTGTCTGTCTCACACGTGGGTGTGTTAGTAAACAGTTTCAAGAAGTGGCGTGGCAGCCAGAGTCCCTTTGATGATGATTGGCGCCCCAAGGGACTAGGGAGACAGGGTGAGGCTTGGCGCTTGGAGGATGATACTGGGGTTGGACTGTAGGGGGTTTATGTCCCGGGGAGGCTGGAAGGGGCCCCTTAAGGGTCACTCCAGGCTTGAGTTTATTGTTGCTTCCTCTTTCCCTGGGAAACTCACACTCCCCTAGGGAGAGAAGAAGCTGAGGAGCCTTTTGTGCAAAGCCAAAGCGTCCATCCTTTAAAAAACAAAAACAAAAAAAAAAACCGCAAAACACTAAAACTGGTCTCCTGCCTGTTTTACTTTAAAATGTGGGTAATGCCTTCCCCTTACACCTTTTATTTCTCACCACTTGTACGTCCACACCTTCACCCATGAGACAGGTAGTGGAGGAGTGAAAAACTCCCCCATTAACAGATGGGAAAACTGAGGCTTAGAGGTAGGAAATCACTAAGTTAAACCCAGCTTCCTCTCATCTGGCCAGCTATTTTTCCCCAACCCACCATCCCAACCAGGCACTTATTCCTCCATGTTTAGAGGATATTGGGGGTAGGTTATCCGAGAAGGGTTACACCTACCTTGTTCCTTTGGACTGAGGTGTAAAGGTGTCCCTGTAGCGTCTTCCCAGTTAATCAGAGCCTCAGCTGCTTCCTTGCACTCAACAAGGCCAAGCTTTGGGCTAGGCGTTCAAATCAAGGATATGGAGCTCCAGCCCCCTCTCCCATCTGTGAATGCAAGTTTGTAAACCTCACTGAGGGCAGACTTCAGCATCCTGTGCCACCAGAAAGCCTTATTCCTAGCCTAACCTCTTAGACCTCAGAACCCATGACAAACACTGGACAGGATGCTTGTATAGATGCAGAATGAGACTAGCATCTGGTAAGGTAGAACAGAGGTAACTCACTGTAGCATTTAAGAAGAACTTACATGACCTTTTGAGAGAGAACTGGGCCATAGTGGGGTATGGATGTTGTCATACACTTGAGTGGGAAGATAACAAGAAAAATTAAAAATCACTTTTTCCCGGTCCATTGTGTTCAGGTCATTTTTAACCTGCTTACTTTCTGCACCTAGAGGTGTTTAATGGCTGGAATGGGAATATTGAGATCAAGAAACCAAATAAAAAGATGTATCTCTACAAAGGCTGATGGAGTGGGAGAGTGGAAAGAGTATTATTTTGGGAGTTTAAGAGATGAGATCTTAGTTTTGAGATCCATTCATGTTACAAAGGTTATGTGTGGAGTTGGCTGATCTGGGTCTGTTTCTCTCTTTGCACATGAGGGGGTTGGACTTGATTGTAGAACTAAAGACATTCCCTTGTCTGGGTAGAGTTAGAGACTCCTCTTTGAAAAGGAGAATAGTGGCTTCCATTATTTCTTTAGGCAGAGCTTTCCCAGTCAGGAGGATTAACACTGAAATATTAAAGGTTTGGGATGTGGGTAAGCATATTGAGTCATTTTCTGACCTGCTGTCTAACCTGAACCTGTTTGCTAGCTCCTGGTTCACTCACAGGCCACATGGCCCAGAACAAAATGCAACAGATTGCAAACAATGAGGGGGGTGGGGAGAGTGACTGACGGCAAACCTCAGCCAATGGGGGCTAGGGGCTGGGTGAAGCAGCATTCCAAACACTGCTGAGCCAGCCAATCACAGTCATTGAGGCCAGGAGGGCTGAATGGTCAGGTTTTATTAATGGAGAAATAATGCGATTGTCCACACAATGGAAGCCTTCCTGACAAAGGGGCTCAAGCATCCTGATATGCAAACGAGGCCGAGAACTGAGCTCTTCTGTTGTCAGGCTGAAATGCATGAAGATGGCCTTCTCTGTGGGGCCTGCGAAATGTGTGAAGCAGGAAGATTTTTCCCCTAATTGCCCCATTCCTGGTTGGATAACTTAAGAGACCTCCAAACCAGGGATAATGTGGGCACATCCAGGTGTCTCCAGGCTCTTGGTGTTTTGGCCCTTGAATCGGGACCTTCTGCTGCTCAGTTCTTGCCCCCGGCACAGGTAGCTTGGCCGTGGTCGATGTCCTTTGTGAAGTTCCTGCTGACCTGCGAATACAAATTCAACCTTCTGGTCCCGGGAAGGGGGTGGGGCAGGCAACCTATAACTGACAGATGACTTTAGAAACCTATTGAACCCCGGAGCAAAATGCTCCTCAGGGACACACTTGCCCTCCCCTTTGGGTGAGAAGGGATGAGTTGTAGCCCTCCCTCCTCTGAATCTTCAGCTGAAAGGGATAGTAGAATAGAGAGGTGGGGGAATAATAGGATTTATAACTTGTGAAAAGTAACAATTCCCCAAGTGCAGGCTGTGCTGGGCAGGAACAAAGGGCAGCTCTGCCCACAGACCCCTCATTTACAATTCTGATGGGGCATGAAAGAGCCCGACTGGGGAGGATCTTTATAGCTAAACTTTGTCCCAGGCCCGATAGCTCTTTTTCTCCATCCCCTCAGTGGGGGAGGGGAGAGCCTGTGCAGACTGGGGGCTGTTGGCTTGGGTCTGCCTTTTGTTCTTATCTAAGCCTTGCTGTGCAAAAGGAAATTGGAGAATATTTTCCTTCTTGCTTATTTCCCCTCCTTTCCTTCACACTGCTCTTAGGCCATTACAAATGAATCCACTGTCTTACCCCTCGTTTCCATTTATTTTTATCTAAATCAGGAAAATGTCACCTCCTTTCCCAAGCCCGGGCTGAGGATCCGTGTATGTGCTTCTCATGGTGTGTGTTTCTCCTCTCGATCTCTTTTCTTGAACAGAGGGGGAAGAAATTGACGTTGTGACAGTGGAGAAGAGACAGTCCCTGGGTGTCCGGAAGCCGGTCACTATCACGGTGAGAGCAGACCCTCTGGACCCCTGCATGAAACACTTCCACATCTCCATCCATCAGCAACAGCACAACTACGCCGCCCGTTTCCCCCCAGAAAGCTGCTCCCAAGTTGGGGCTCCGGAGAGAGATTCCCAAGAAGAGGCTCTGGAGAGAGACACTCCAGAGGAAAAGGAAGATGAGGCGGATGAAGAGATAGTGAGCCCCCCGCCTGTAGAAATCGAAGCTCCCCAGTCCTGCCACCCCAAACCTGTCAGTTCTGACACTGAGGATGTTACCAAGAGGAAGAACCACAACTTCCTGGAGCGCAAAAGGCGGAATGACCTCCGCTCCCGGTTCTTGGCCCTCAGGGACCAGGTACCCACGCTGGCTAGCTGCTCCAAGGCCCCCAAAGTAGTGATCCTGAGCAAGGCCTTGGAATACTTGCAAGCCCTGGTGGGGGCCGAGAAGAGGATGGCCACAGAGAAAAGGCAGCTCCGATGCCGGCAGCAGCAACTACAGAAAAGAATTGCGTACCTCAGTGGCTACTGACTGACCAAAAGCCTGACTGCTCTGTCTTACAAAAAGACCCGAGTTTATTTTTTAACCTTTCCTCTCCCCCTTAGTAATTTGCACATTTTGGTTACGGTGGGACAGTCTGGACAGTAGATCCCAGAATGCATTGCAGCCGGTGCACACACAATAAGGGCTTTTGCATTCTTGGAAACCCTGAAACCCAGCTCTGCCTCTTCCCTGACTCACGGGAGCGCTGTGTCTTCTCTGGCGCCTCTGGCTTCTCGGGCAGGCAGCTGACTGAGGAGCCTCGGGGGCTGCCTAGCTCACTAGCTCTGAAGAAAAGCCTGACAGATGCTATGCAACAGGTGGTGGACGTTGTTGTCGGGGGGCTCCAGACTGCATGAAATCTCACACTCTTGATGAGCTTAGGCTGGGAAAGGATGCTCCCCCTGGTGTCTCTGGGGTGATGCTAGGACAGCTGGGCCTGGATGCTCTCTCTGAGGCTCCTTTTTTCAGGAGACACATGAGCTGTCTTGGTTGAAGACAAGCTCGCAGACTTGATCAACGTGGACCATTACCTCACTGTCAGACACTTTACAGTAGCTGAGGAGTTGGAAACCTTTAATATATATATTATGATGTTAGATGACACCCCTCTTCCCACTCTAGTGCTGCGCTCTTGGGAGCATTTAAGAGCTTGGCCTCTGGCTTCTTTGTCTCCTATCCCTCCAGGCGCTTTCCTCTGAGAGAGACCATTCTGTCCTCATAAGGGACTTTTTTGTTTCCTCTGCCTTTGTAATGCAGTGGGCTCCAGAGTACCCCTTTCCCCGCTGGTCAGAAATATTCCCCCAAGACACAGGGAGACTAGGAAGACTTAGAGTCCTGGCTGGGGAACTAGCTCCCTGCCCCAGTGTTTACCTAGGAGCCCATCTTGGAATCTTAAGGCAGGTCTCAGGCTACTCAGGAAGGAAGAACTCTGCTACTTCCTCTTTCCTGTCATCTCACTCTCTGCCTGACACATTTGAAGTTCTACCAGAACCATGTAAAACCTGTCCTTGTGTAACTTCAGGGAGCTTGTGGGCTCTGCAGCCACCCTTGGGCCCCCTGCCAGCCTGACATGAGTCAGATCCCTTTCCCAGAATCTGGGCCTCACTGAAGCTCTTAATGGGGTTGCCGATGGGACTTATCCAGTGCTTCAGAAAGTGGACTAGCTTCCCGGTGGGTTCTAAAGGAGCTCTGCTTAGTGGACCTGGCACCGCCAAGTGGAATCCAGGTGCAGCCTCCAGTCCAGGAAAGGCACCCAACCTAACAGGTGTTATGTGGGCAGCCTCAGTAGCCCATAAAGCCTGGCCTAGCAGAAGGATCAGCCCCTTTAGAACTCTGCCCAGGGCAGCAGGTGCCTGCTGGCTGTGGGTTTGCAAGTGGGGGTGGGGGAGTGGTAGAGTGCTCTGTATAGCTCTGGAAAGCCAGCTGCCACTTACAGACCTGTTGTACATGATGGGCTGTTTCTGTGGTTGCTTCCTGGGCTTAGAGAACTTCAGTGTAAGTTTGGAAAGAGCCTCTCTACCTTCCGGAGCATGGTTTTCAGGAGCCAACTAGCTTCTGGAACTGTCTTGGAGAACAGGTGGGATACAGGTTACTGATGTCTCACCTGAATAGCTTGTGTTTTATAAGCTGTTGTTGGATATTATGCTGGGAGCAGTCTTTTTGGTTTTTTTTAATACTGTATTTTTGTATGCCTTTTGCAAAGTGGTGTTAATTGTTTTTGTACAAGAAAAAACCTCTTGGGCAATTCTCCTATTGCAAGAGTCTGATTTATTTTGAAAGGCAAGTTTACCTAAAATTTTGTATTTAGTTGTGATTATGGATTGCCTGATTTTAAAATGTTGCCTTCTGGGACATCTTCTAATAAAAGATTTCTCAAACATCTGAGAGTGAGGCAACTCATGCCAACCAAGCACCCCTGAACCAAGGACAACTATTACAGGGAAGCCACAAGTGATCCAGAGGGTTGCCTCTCTAACCAGGTTGCTAACCTGGTCATTCCACTTTGGGTTCCTGAAATGCCATTTCAGACATGTCTAAACAATGTAGGCTCAGCACTTGGTGAACATGAAATTCTCTTGTGAATTGCAAGAAGTGCTGAATTTGTACTTCAAAAGACTTGAATCCTGGTTCTGCCACTTCCTGTTCCCTGACTTTTAGCTTTACCTTTCTGAGCCCGAGCTTCCTTATCCATAAAATGGGGACAAATGCTATTCACAAGGGGTCTACAGTTTCTAAATGAATTAGCAGACTTTAAACCACTTTCTACACTGTAAAGCTTTCCATTCTTTAAGGTGGGTCTGTTCTTAGTGTCATAACCTTTGCCAGGATGTCTTTAAAAATATTCTTTGAGAACTCACATAATTTTTCTTTCTCCCCTCATTAATGAATGCAAATGAAGGCTCCCTTTTCTCTCCCCTAGTTCTCATAAATTTGCAATAGATGGAAGAAGAGAGAATTTAATAACTTTTTGATAGAACTTTGCTATGGCTAAGCACTCTGCTTCATCCTGCATGTTATAAAAACACCAAGCACCTGCCAAAGCTATGGAAGAGGAAACTGAGGTTATAAAAGTGAAATAAAACTGCCCAGGCTCACAAAACTAGTAAATAAATAATTTGGGGTTTGCCTGTCTCAGGAGCCAGAGGTCTCAACCAGGGCAAAATAGTGATCAGCTTGTTTTGTTATGGAGGAGGGAAACATGGGATTCCATCACTTAACTGCTTGTTGGAACTGTCTCTCTGGGCCACTGTTCTTGCCACTTATTGGGATGAAGTGGAGCAAATGTTCAATATTCAGCCACTCTGTTGCATTTATGGGCTGGGTAGGTTAGTCTTGTCCCAAAGCGGCCCCTTCTGGGACAGAAAGGAAAGCAGTTGTTTGGAGAGGCTGTGAGCATCCTGGTGGGAGAAGGCTCTGCCATAGCTAATCTTGCCTTAGGGCTGAAACCTGGGTCAGTGTAGCCTGCCTGCAGTCTCTGGAGCATGAATAGGAGTAAAAAAAAAAAAAAAAAAGCTACTATAAATTCCTCACATTTACAAAGTAACCCTCATTGCAACCTAGTAAGCAGTATCTGGTGGTAGAGCACAGAGAGGTTTTCTTGTTCAAGGTCAAGTAATAGAATCTCAAATCCAGTTTCCTGTCAGATTAAAAAAAAAAAACAACTTACTGCTCCTGAGTCACCAAACTCATTTATAAGTAGTTGTTTGATAAAACAGACTTGCATCACTGGTGTTAGGGGGAAAGAATGTCCTGAGCACTGGGACTCTTCTCTTAAAACACCATTTCTCTCTGTTAGAGTCAATCTGTTCCCAGTATTCATCGTCTTTTGAGGTCATTTGTCAAGAGTAATTTATAGGACTTCTCTCCCTTGCAAGAATTCAAAGAAGCTTCATAAAATAGTAGGAACTACTGGGTACAGCACCAATATAGGTTGCTACATACATTTTTTAAAAAAAAAATTTTAAAAATTATGCGTACAAGAACTGGGGTGTAAGCCAAAGGTGGGTGGTTGGTGAGAGGATTCACCAGAGTGGGGAGCAGAACAGGGATATCTACTAAAATACATTGCTGAGGGAGAGCAGCCAGTGAGACAGGAGAGGTCTGCTGTGCTCCCTGGCCAGCCAGGGATCAAAGAGCTGCAGTGGTTGGCAATAACTTGACAGCGTTGTCTTTAACCCCTGTGCCACCATGGAGGTGCAGGTTGCTACATATCTTAATTCTCACAATAACCTAGAGGACAGGATAATGTCACCCCCATTTTACAGATGAGCAAACTGAAATGCAGAGACACTGAAGTCATTTGTCTAAGTAGCTAGGACAGCTGCCTGACTCCAGGCTTCCGCTCCTTGGAGTCAGACTCCGCGGAGAAAGGAGTGGGAATAGAGCTATTCTTGGGGGAGGGGAGGGTGTTTCTGGAATGTGAAGTATTTTAAGCTCCTTCCTAGCTGTTTCCAGACTCCTACCTCTATCTTTCTCTGAAAATAACCAGAAGTTTATTCCTGGATTTCAGAGAACAATGTTTACAAATTAGGTTTGCCTCTGAATAGTACACCTAAGGTACTACATGCCCAACTTGGGGGCGTGGACATAGGCAATAAAGGGCAGTTGAGGAACCACACACAACAGAGAAGAGAAAGGTCATTTTCTCTGTTAGAAAAAAGGCTAAAATGTGTGCTTAACTTAGTCCCCTACTGGCAGATGTTTTGAGGGACTAATACAGGTTGAATTCTCTCAAATGTGCTGAATTTGTCTAATGTGCCCCTGGGGTCAGGATATTCCAGAATATTCACTTCAGTGGAAGGGGAAGATGGGGCAGGGCTGCTTTTGTTGAACTGGAAGGTGATAGGAGGGAGTGAGAAAGAGATGTTCTTTCTAAGGATAAGATAACCGGTTGGGAGATGACTGATGACTGGGTAGTGAGGGAGGGGCAAAGGTCTAAATGTGTCAGCTCCAGTTCCGTTGGGGTGTGGGCATTTCTACTTTAAGGGGGGGGGGGCACAGTTCTTGTTAATGTCTTTATTTAAAGCTCTTCCTGCCAAAGGGATCAACTGTATTCATGTTGCCATTCTTTTGGTGAGGAAATGTAAATATGTTCTTCAAGTCTATAATGAGAAGTGGGTTATTAAACAATTAGATTTAATGCCACCCATTCAGTAAATGCCCAGAAAATACTGGATTGCCCTTAAACTTGTGGGAAATGGTCTGGTTAAGTGGCCTCCACACCCAACATGTCTCAGTTCCAAATCTTGGCTCTCCATTTTCTAGGTCTATGTGACCTTTGACAAATTATTCTTCCCCAGACCCAGTTTTCTTATCTGTAAAACAGGTATAAAAATGTGCCTCTGGGGCCTCCTTGGTGGCATAGGGGTTAAGTGTCAGTGCTATTGATGGAGGACAAGAATAGAAAGACTGGAAAGGAGGTGCCCCAAGACCAGAACCTGACTCACAAGGAGGTGGGGGTAGAGGGAAATAATATGACCATTAACCTAGCTGTAGAGGTTGTGACCCTTAGGTACCAGTGTCTTATCACAAGGCATGAGACCCAAGCAAGATCAGATGCTATAGGGAGTGGAGCATACACCTGAGGGTAAAGATAGAGAGATTGGGCCCATCCTGGAATCTCCACTCCACATCCTGGTAGCTCCGGTCCCTTTTGGATTCTGCATGGTTATCCAAAATCAGCAACAAACTGAAGGCTCTCAAGGAGTGACCCCTCCCAAACAGAAGAGGACTATATCAGTATAGTCTCTGCACAGGCTCAGGACAGCACTCCCACTGCCCACCTGTGACTATGCAGGTGCCTCTTTTCACTAACTCTATCCCTCTGCAGGGCAGCAGCTTTCTGGCTGCCCATGACCTGTACCATGCCTGGACTTCTCTTCACTGACCTCCCTCAGGGGAGACAGCTCTCCTCAAGGCTGCCTGCCTGCAACCATGCAGGCCTCTCTTAAAACCTACCCCTTTCCCTTTCCCTAATAAACTTGCTCTTTTAATATGACTAACGTCTCTGTCTCATGGAGAAACTCGCCTGGGGAACTCACAACTTGCTGCTTAAACGGGAGCTCTGGTGAAACCTTTCCCAGAGTGCACCCACGGACCCCTGCACTAACTCCAAGAACCTCATCACTATCACCACCACAGCCTGAGTTGGACCCCTGGCCAGAGGCTAAGGGAGCTAACCCACATGGCACAGCAGACCTCTCTTCTCTCTCCTGCTGCTCCCCTTAACAGTGTATTTCAATAGACCTGCCTGTTCTGCTCCCTACTTTCTCTCATGAATCCTCTCACCACCCGCATCTTTGGCCTATACCTAGGTCTTCTATGCATAAATAAATAAATAAATCTAAAAAAAATAGAAAGAAAAAAGAAAAATTGGCACCTGTTTCACTGAGTTGTTAGGAGCAATAGTAAGTACTCAGTAAATGATTAATGCTACTTAAACCACACCCAGAATGACATCAGTCATATTTGAAAGGTAATAGAAGGGATTGGTAAAATAAGATTCAGAAGGAGTACTTAAAGTCATCTGGAATATAAACATTGATGCCTCAAGAGTTGGTAAATCATCAGGGAAGGAATAGGCAGGGTTTGGGGAGACAGCTAGGCAGAGGAGGAATGGAGGGCAAAGACCTGAATCTACCTATCCCTAGTCCCTGATGCAATAGGTCAGGGCCAGGAATCTCAGTTGCTACTAAGGAAGCAGGGAGGTAGAATCCTGAGATCATGCTTAGAAAAACATTGGAATAAGGGGTTGGAGCCCAGGTACTGCAGAGATGTAAAAATATTCACAGTGCCACATTGTAGAGAAATATATATGAAATTGTGGTTTCTTACAGGAAGTTTATGTGCATGCAAACAGGATCACAAAATAAGGCGTTGTACATCTCAGATAAAGGCTACAAGCCTCAGAAGGGGAAGAGAATGCTTCATTTGAAGTCATCAGGAAAGTTCTTGTTGAGATATTGTAACTAACTGGAACTAGAAGTTCCAGTAGTATTTGGCCAACCCAAGAGTAGAAAGGTTCTAGGCTAAGGAATAGATTTGGGAAGAAGGGATTAAGAAGGTTGTATGGAATCTGGGAAAAGGGAAAGAATCTGGTCTGATTTGCTGGCTCAACTATACAAAACAAGGGGAGTTGCACAAGATTTCTAAGGGGATCCTTTCACTAGCAAACATTTTTTATGATTCTTGAAATAGGGAAGTTAGGAAAGAAACTGATTGTGGTTAGGGACAAAATGAGGTTGAAGTGATGGAGTCATCCAAAATAGAGCACCTAACAGGAAGTTAGAAATGTGACATTGAAGCTTTAGAAAGAAGGTTGAAATAACCTGATGCAGGTTTGAGACTCATTAGGATTTAAAATGATGAAGGGGGCCTCCCTGGTG